TCAACAAGTTGGTTAAGTAAATAATACCCTCACGGGAAAATCGATATCTCTCTATGAGCACACTGTCGCGCTGAGCTAAAGGATCCTGTCTGTCCCGCAATATACGCTGAATTCTGAACACTCTCCTTATCAATCTTGCACCTTCCGCAATGGGTGGCTCGCGTATACGGACAGGACATGGCTGCAACAGACTTCCCAAATCCACCTTCACTTTTATAGCCGTGGTCTCTCATCTTGATTACACGAAGTAATTTACTATTACTACTCTAAAATATGAATTACATCTGAAATAATCAAATACATGGAATAGAATGATTAATAGTACATTTCCCTTTTTTTAGGAAATGACCTGTATGTATCTGTATGAAATCAATAACAGAATCAAATACTGCATTAGCTTTAGTTACATTGATAATATTTATTTATGGAAAAACAGTGGTAAAATATCGCTGTTGCTTTCGTATAGATGAAGCGGACATACCTGAGTGGCCGCGATCTAATCCTGTTTACATAAAGTAAGCCTGCTCCCAAGCAGGTTTACGCTTACGGATCTGTTGCTATGACAGCAAGTCCCAGATGAGCTTCGGAGAACAGAACGATCCAAGATCACGCGAAATCGTCAACAATCAAATCCAGCTAACTTACTTAGCGAGGTACGAAGAACGGACCCCAGAATAGGAAATCTTGTCCGGTTAGCGACACCAAAAATAAATAAATAAATAAAAAATAATAATAATAAAAATCAAGAGGAAACTCTGCTTCTTTCCTCCCGTTGCAGCTTGCATGATGATGTGCGGCTACATGCTGGGCTAATCCTCTCTCTCACAGCTAGGCCCAATCCAGCGCTTATTACACTCGCCATACACTTAATGTTTAATCTCCAGAATTACAAACACTTCATAGTTAAACAGTCTGTAGCACACAAACCGTGCCAATACCAGAGAGCTTCATTTCCTCACTGAAATCACGATAACCCACTTGGAGCAATCTCAGGAGACTCGTCATTCTACCACACTTCCTTATTTGTATGACTAATGCAAGCTTTTTGATTATATTTAGAGTGGATGGAATCTTAAGGGGTAATAAATTCATCTTTCTGTGAAAACCAAATCTTATGGTTTCTACCATGCTTTAAAAAAAGCCTACAGTGCAGGAAGAGTATTCTTCAGTATTCTGTCACTGTGGTGTAAAACACTGTCATTGCTGCAACGAGTCAGCTACGCAGATTTTCTGTCACTTTAATTAAATAACAACCAGACAGTAAAGTGGTGTGTGGCACTGATGTTTCCCATCGTGCTGTGTAGTTGCCTTGGTAACAGGTTTGTGGATAAGGATGAGATGGCCTGTGAGGCAAAGGAGAGAGGTGGCAGCCAAATGTGACTGGCAGGAAAACAATTGTGTTGAGGAAGAGGAGAATGCACGGAGGCTAATTTACGCAACTGGAAAAGGAAAAAAGAAAAAAAGAAAGAAGATTGCATCCATAATCCTAAACTTTGAGTTATGCTTCTCAAAACGTCATTGCTTTGTTACTCGGAAGCAGGAGGTGGATGGCATCAGCTGCCAGTGCTACAGCTGGCAGGCATGAATATGCAAAATGCTGAGTACTTTCAATGTCATGGGTGGCTGTAGCTCAGGTGGTAGAGCAGGTCATCTACTGATCGGAAGGTTGGTGGTTCGATTCCCGGCTTCCCCTAGTCTGCATGCCAAATATCCTTGGGCAAGATACTAACCCGAAATTGCTCTCCGATGCATCCATCGGAGTATGAATGTGTGTGAATGTCAGTTGTGCTTGTGTGAATGGGTGAATGCACAAGTTGTGTAAAGCGCTTTGAGTGCTCAGAAGAGTGGAAAAGCGCTATATAAGAACTAGTCCATTTACCATTTACCAATGTGGTTTAAGAAATGATGAAATCCTTGCGTTACTCGCCAACATGAATAGCACTTTGTTCGTGTTTACTATACACTGAAAGCTGACTGATGCTGTCCACTACACGATTTTGAGTGAGCTAGTGTCAGGGATATTTTTCCCCATTGGTGGAAACACGCTTCCATCTGAATGAATCAGACATAACCATTTGAGTCAGGAAGGAGGTGGTTTTTAAAAAAAAAAAAAAAAAAAAAAAAAAAAAAAAAAAAAAAAGAATGAAAAAGAAAAAAAAAAAAAAAGAAAAAAAAAAAAAAAAAAAAAAAAAAAAGGATGAAGAAGAATATTTCTCAGGTCACATTTTTCAGGTCAGTACAGTAATTTGGGTGGACTACATCATCTACTCCGCTCCTTTTTATAGCCCTACCTACCTACCTACAGACAGAGGCAGCACAGGGAGGGCCGGCACACAGGAATAATATGGAGAAGGGACTGTATGTGTGGGAGGTGAAGACAAGACGAGAATCGGCCAATGAGACACCACAGTGATATGTAGACAGACGAAACAGCTGGGAAATTAACACCACCAGAAAACTGCTGCCAAAGCTTAGGTGAATTGAGCAGTCATGATCAAACTTAGCACAAATTTAACAATTTCAAAAAGAGTAGAAGAAAACATACTCAGCTGCTGCTGTAGCTGAGTCAGAGGCCCTCATAGGTAGTCTTCTGAGGTCTTCCCAGGCAACTTACCTCCATTTAGCAAGTAAATTACGATGTTTGATAAAACATTTGGGTCCTTGTTTTTACAGAAGGGAAGCACTTCCTCTTTCCCTTTGATGGTGATTCAAAGAACTAGAAATAACCAGCAATTTTTGAAGACCTTTAGAAAAACCAAATAAATAAGACTGTCACTTTGAGACCATCCTCCACTAAGGCCGCCGCTGTACTGTGCTATTTTAGAGCCACATAAGTTTGAATACGCTCTCTTTGCACAAGCTCCAGCTCTCCAGAAAGTGTCACAAATTTCAGCTTTTTACACAATTTTTCTGAAAAACACGCAAACAGCACTAAAACCCCATGTTTTAGCAATAATAATTACTTCATTTCCTGCTGACAGTGGAGTTATTTGCCAGATAATAGCGTAAACCTGTAGCCACGAGTGTTGAATGTGATGCTTTTATCTACGCCATCATTACTTGTGTAAGCATCCCTCTTATGTCTAGCTTAGTAGCTGGCAGTGCTACCAGTAGGCAGCACTGCCTTACCTGCAGGCAGCACTGCCTTACCTGCTAGGGTAAATCTTGTCTGCATGCTCACATGCACACACTCATGCCATGTGCTGAGGTTAAAAAAAATAAATAAATAAAAAATAAATACATAAAAACTGGATCTAATCAGACGCTCTATTAGCTAGTGCTCCCTGTGCCTGCCTGCCTGCCTGCCTGTAAACACATCTGCTGCGATGGAGATACTGCCTTAGCAGCTATTAATAGAACGTCTTTGCTAGCTAACATGCTAGCAACAGCACCAGGAACAGCGAGACCAAATTAGCTCAGGACTTTCTGCAAAGGCAAGACTGAAATATCCAGCATGTGTTAGCATCACCAGCTTAGCGCTTATGCTTGAAGACAATAGTTTCTTCATAACTGCAGAGTCATTTGTTGTAGATCTATTGAGACCTTTATAAAACTTGTTTACTTGTCAATAATTGGTGTCCACAAAAACACACCGAAATAAAACAGAGCCATATGAATGTAGTCTTAACATGATCATGACAATGTAGAATCTGTTCTGTTCAATCTGACAACTGTGCCATGCACCTCATGCGCTCATGTGAGAGTGGGGAAAGGGAAAAAAGGACAACCGTGAACTTACTACTTTGGTAAATGTGGAGGTCAGCTACCAGCTGTGTTTCTGTGAAAGGACGTCTGTGCGCTTAAGGCGTGGCTTCTGTGCTTCTGTCACACAAGAGTACACTGCAGCACCATCTTATTGAAGAAAACTGGCTGCATTACTGAACAGAACTAATGTATGGCTCAACATACTTTACTGAAATAGATCATCACTGGACCTCAACCAAGGGGCCATGAAAGGGGGAGAAGGGTTTTGTAGTCTAGCAGCTGAGAAGCAGCGCTGCCACACACACACACACACTACAAGTGCAGATATTGGGCTATTTTGTGTTGATAGTGGTAATATTATAGAGATTACTATTAACAACAGCTGGAATTTTAGCACAAAATGCCACCAACAAACCAGACTAAAGGATACCGAATTATTCTCCTTTGTAGTTTCCTGGCTTGAACAATACATATGATGAAACAATAAGTAGTTTGCGGCATATAAGGCTATAACAAGCTGCAGAGCTAAATGGAGTGTGGAGGGATAAACATAGCATCACTTGTTTAGCTGACACATGAGAGGCCAAGGGGGTGCTGCTCCCAAGAAAAAGGAAAAGAAAAGACAAGCAGCAAACTTTTGTTGTTAGCAGGTGGCTTAGAAATGACTTCTGCAGCCTGAATTTACTTTATCACCCCTCCAACCACGGAAAAAAATAAATAAATAAATAAAAAAAAATATCGAAACACACTGTTGAGTAATTCAGGACGACTCTTCTCCTTTATAGCAAAATTATACATTTCCGAGAAGGGTGCAGCAAAAGGTGTGCGAAGAAGGTAAAAATCATGTGCGCAAAGAGACTGAAGAGACAGGAACAGTGAGTCAGCTAACCAGACAGAGAGAGATACTGCACTGTGTCGAGAGGGTGGACAGGAGGATGACAGAAAGAACAGACAAACAATGACTGTGCACACAGCCTGCTGTGTTCAGGAGAAGCACAAAGGGAAAAGCTATTCTGTTTAGAAAATAGGCGATCACACAGTAGTGTATGCACGTTTGACAAAAAGGTGAAATAAAAGTCATCTTGCATACCCCTCCATGTGTTACATTAGACAGTGTGTTAGGTGCTGTCCAAGTGAAGTAAATTAAGAGCACCAAATTCCCAAAACAGGAAACAACTCACCCCGTAGCTAGGACTACAAAAGGAATGAGGACAGATACGGTTAAAAAGCCTGCTGGAAACACTGGTATAAGCACTATAACTGTAGATGAACAGGGGGAAAACTAAAATACACACCTTCGTCCATAAGATTTCCAAATAAGGCTTTCGTCTCCTCTTGAAATGTGGGGACCTCTGGAAAAGAAAAGGGAGCAAAGTAAACGAACACAAGTTAGAAAAGCAAAGCTAGAGGGATACTGGTTCAGACCGATCCCACCGTAACAATGTTCCTACCATATAACAGGAATAATAACCATCAAGTAAAGTACACCAAATTACACACATTTATCACCAGCTAAACATGAAGCCTGGCTTTGTAATTTCTAACAATGTTAAATAACATGCTCAAGTCAGTCCGATAAGCTGGATTTCCATCATGACAGTCTAGTTTTTAAAATGGTGCCAGCTGGCTATAGGAGATCAGGAGGGGCACAGCAGATTTAGTGCACTTCCACGAACTACAACCAGCCTTTCAAGGCATTTAAGCCACTCACTGTGCTGCTAATGCACCATACATTAGCACGAGACTTTATATATTGAAAAAAATAAAAATAAAAATTAAAAAAAAAAATTGATTCACACTGTGCCGTCTTGCCTAGGGCTGGGCGATATGACCCAAAATTCATATCTCGATATTTTTTTAGCTGGATGGCGATATAAGATATATATATCTCGATTTTTTTTTTTTTTAAAGCCATAAGTTAAGAACAAAAAGAGAGTTCTTAGTCACACTGTGTCCCAGCTGTCACACGGGCACTTTTATTTACATACAGCGTAGATGTACATGAAGAAATTACTCAAAAATAAATTATCAGCATTTATTAAATAATCATGGTCCATAAATAAAAGAAAACAATGTTGTTTTTGTGCATAACAAAAAGCTCACAATTGTGCAGTCAAAATGTAAACTAATAGACGCTGAGCATAATAACAAAGAGACAGATTTCACAGCTGCACCACGTCTCTGAACAGGTGCCATTTGTGGTCCTTATACACACACAGTACGTATCACTCCGCGAGGCTCCTCCTCAGTAGCCGTAATCCTCTGGCAATCCATCAAGTGGTGCAGCTCCGTAGCTTAGCAAAGTCATATTAAAACATTTTTTGACAGATTGCTGAGCGCTGTGTACCACATAAAATCGGTTCGCGGTCAGTAAGCACAACCAGAATTCATACATAAGGCGCACTGTCGATTTTTGAGAAAATGAAAGGATTTTAGGCCGTGCAGCCCCTCCGGGCTGCATGTCGTTAGCGCGGTTAGCTCGTTAGCGCGGTTAGCTCGCTAACACGTTGACGCCGTCCAGCCCCACACACGGTAACTCACTAACGGAGATTTTCCGCTTTCATCTTGTCATTGCCTGCAGGTGAAGCTATGGGGGAGGCGGAGTTGTGTTCAGTGAAGGAGAGGCGAGGCCGAGTAACGTTGCGTAGAGACAAAAGTGGACGAAAGAGAGGCAAACCTGCGGCTCCACAAGTATAATTATAACGTAACATAGACTATATCGATATAAACGATATTTCCACATCTTATATCTCGTATGAAAATATATCGATATTTTTAAAAAAAAAAACTCGATATATCGCCCAGCCCTAGTCTTGCCCTACTCCACAATGTCCCCAGTATTGTTCAGTCAGTGCCTGTGTTACAAATCTGACATGTAGCCATTGTGTCTGGGTCATAATAATGTGATCCTCTACAGAGGTGACTGCATGCGGGCTAAACTGTGCACATATGTACATTTCAAAACACAGCTGCCATCTGCCAGAGAAAATTTCATTCTGCCCTTAATATAGTGCACATTTGTCATTGTAATTCGGGGTGGGTGATATCGCCTCAAATTATCATGTCGATATGGCCAGAAATATCATGCCCATTTTACTTCAATATAGAATAATCCAGACAAAAAGCTGGTCACAACATTTTATTGATACTTTCAGCTTGCAGGCAGCACCATTTATAATTGCAACTAAATAAAAGATCATTTTCAATCCTTTTTAAATGAGTCAAATGAACACTACGGCATCACTGAGAGTTACAAACTGTCTAAATCCTTTCACCTTTAATAAAATCAATGTGGCCGCTTTACCAGGTGTAACAAATAGGTTTAACATCCAGGCATCCATGAAAACAGAGTTTATGAAGGTTAACAGAGTTAGAAGCAAGCAGGAAGTTGGCTTGCTAGTTTCCACCTAAACATGATATAGCATGTTCTGACTAAGGGGTTTCTGAAAAATTAAGACATACAGCTCTGCTGTCACTTCCAACATAAATGAAGACAGAAAACTAAACAGCAGTGACGGTTGTAGGGTTACTGAAGTTGGGCTAGCTGGTATATAATAATGTGCTACGTGGTGGGTAGCTACAGTATATTAGCATGATATAAACACATTAGCAGTGAAGCTAACTTTTTTCCCCACTCCACCTTAATAAATGCAGTGTAGTTTGGACCCGGAAGCAGGGTTGATAAATCATCACTCAAAGATCGGATACTGAAGAGGCAATCTTTTGAAACAAGATGCCAGGAGAAGCAGTATTATATCTAGTGACGCAGCACAAAAGTAACCTAGGTGAAATTGTTTCTAGATACTTCAGGTAAAACATATTTGTTTAACAATAACTTCTGTGACTGTTGAGAATGCTCTGAAAGTTATTTTAAACTAAAATAAAGTTTGTACCTCAGATGTTGGGTCAAGCTATTCAAACCAGCTGCTTAACCACATCAGTAATTTGCATCCACTGTTTGTTATTCTTGTCATATGAAGCGCAGCTAGTGAGTACTCCTGCCACGCTGGGTGAGTCGTGTGTTTACATTTCGGTCCCAAGTCACCGGCTGCTAGCTTCTCGTCCTTTAAAGTCTGGCTGCACCTTCAGTGTATTTGTGCTGGCTAAAGGTGGAGAAACACTTGTCGTTTACACCTTTAACCTCCTAAGACCCGAACTCTTCCACGGCATGCATTTTAAATTTCTCTATGATATTTGGGCATATTGGGACCCAATGAATGTAAAAACAAAGAATTACCTGATTTTTGTTTCTAAGAAAAATGAGAGCCACATACAGTGGGGCAAAAAAGTATTTAGTCAGTACCGATTGTGCAAGTTCCCCCACTTAAAATGATGACAGAGGTCAGTAATTTGCACCAGAGGTACACTTCAACTGTGAGAGACAGAATGTGAAAAAAAAAAAAAATATCCATGAATCCACATGGTAGGATTTGTAAAGAATTTATTCGTAAATCAGGGTGGAAAATAAGTATTTGGTCACCTCAAACAAGGAAAATCTCTGGCTCTCACAGACCTGTAACGTCTTCTGTAAGAAGCTTTTCTGTCCCCCACTCGTTACCTGTATGAATGGCACCTGTTTGAACTCATCATCTGTATAAAAGACACCTGTCCACAGCCTCAAACAGTCAGACTCCAAACTCCGCCATGGCCAAGACCAAAGAGCTTTCGAAGGACACCAGGAAAAGTATTGTAGACCTGCACCAGACTGGGGAGAGTGAATCTACAATAGGCAAGCAGCTTGGTGTGAAAAAAATCAACTGTGGGAGCAATCATCAAAAAATGGAAGACATACAAGACCACTGATAATTTCCCTCGATCTGGGGCTCCACGCAAGATCTCATCCCGTGGGGTCAAAATGATCATGAGAACGGTGAGCAAAGATCCCAGAACCACACGGGGGGACCTGGTGAATGACCTGCAGAGAGCTGGGACCAAAGTAACAAAGGTCACCATCAGTAACACACTACAACGGCAGGGAATCAAATCCCGCAGTGCCAGACGTGTTCCGCTGCTGAAGCCAGTGCATGTCCAGGCCCGTCTGAAGTTTGCCAGAGAGCACATGGATGATACAGCAGAGGATTGGGAGAATGTCATGTGGTCAGATGAAACCAAAGTAGAACTTTTTGGTATAAACTCAACTCGTCGTGTTTGGAGGAAGAAGAATACTGAGTTGCATCCCAAGAACACCATACCTACTGTGAAGCATGGGGGTGGAAACATCATGCTATGGGGCTGTTTTTCTGCCAAGGGGACAGGACGACTGATCCGTGTTAAGGACAGAATGAATGGGGCCATGTATCGTGAGATTTTGAGCCAAAACCTCCTTCCATCAGTGAGAACTTTGAAGATGAAACGAGGCTGGGTCTTCCAACATGACAATGATCCAAAACACACCGCCCGGGCAACAAAGGAGTGGCTCCGTAAGAAGCATTTGAAAGTCCTGGAGTGGCCTAGCCAGTCTCCAGACCTCAACCCCATAGAAAATCTGTGGCGGGAGTTGAAAGTCCGTGTTGCTCGGCGACAGCCCCAAAACATCACTGCTCTCGAGAAGATCTGCATGGAGGAATGGGCCAAAATACCAGCTACTGTGTGTGCAAACCTGGTAAAGACCTATAGTAAACGTTTGACCTCTGTTATTGCCAACAAAGGTTATGTTACAAAGTATTGAGTTGTATTTTTGTTATTGACCAAATACTTATTTTCCACCCTGATTCACGAATAAATTCTTTACAAATCCTACCATGTGGATTCATGGATTTTTTTTTCACATTCTGTCTCTCACAGTTGAAGTGTACCTCTGGTGCAAATTACTGACCTCTGTCATCATTTTAAGTGGGGGAACTTGCACAATCGGTGGCTGACTAAATACTTTCTTGCCCCACTGTATGAGGATATTTGTTTCAAATTTCGATAGAACAGTGGGAGTATAATGTCCTTGTAAGTGGATATCAGGTCCTTGTAGTGCAAAATTGAGTACTTTGGTCTAAATAACCCAAAATGTGATGTCCACATATGTGGACGCAGGTCCTAGGAGGTTAATCTGGACAGTTTTCTTGTACATGTTGCAAAGTACTGTGTCCTTATTGGAGGTTGTTGAAGTAGCTCTCATCTTCAGTACTAAATGGTGACTCTTGCTCTCAGATATGCCTGGGCTCATCTCATTGTGTACAACAGGGAACAAACTCATGGTTGTTAGTAAATCTAGCCACTGTTAGTTTAATGGATGAGCACACTTCGAAAGCTTTCACCATGCTAAGAAAGAACAATCAATTTAGATAGATTTGTATTTCTACTTATAAAACACTTAACAAGGAACCAAGTCTCATCAACCATTTTAGATTAGAGTGCCTAATTCATTTCTGACTTTCTCAATGGATACCAGATTGACAGGATCTGATATAACGGAAATCACCATGTGGGCATCATGAAAACAACATTTCCTTTAGGTTAATCTGCAGCCTTTTAAAGCCATTTGCTTTAGACAAAACAAACACATACCTTGGAAAAAAACAAAAACAAAACACAACTACATAGCACCTCAGGTACATGTGAAAACAGAAGGACACACAAAAAAAAAAAAAAAAAGGGGGGGGGGGGGGGGGCACTAAGAGAAGCTAAGATATGCTGCACACTGAAGCCAGGAAAAGTTGAAGTATACGGAAAATAAGCACTCGGGGGAATACAAGAATGCAAAGAGATACAAGTGGGAAAAAGACACCATGAGTAGAGGGGGGGGGGCCAAAAACAAGCTAGGCTTCAACAAACATGCCGTTCTTTGTTCTTAAGTGGCCCACTCCAAGTTTTCATACACACTATAACAGTGTAATTCACAATGCACGCATGCGGCGCCTGCTGAAAGGCTCCTCTGTATTCACCCACAAAGAAACTATTCAGCACATTTTGTCACAACATACAGAACACACTTTCACCAGCTACGCTCGAGCAACAGAAAGGCCAATCAATTTGTCAGCTTGATGCTAACAAAGCTACAACTAGAATTTACACTACTGTACAACATCTTACCCTGCAGATACACGGACAAATGCATTGAGCTGATGATGAGGGGAGGAGAGGGGGCTTTTTGTGTGCTTTACCGTTTTAAAGTGTAATACCTTTAGTCCTGTGCACACTCCTTGTGGCTACACATGAGAAGAGTCTGAGCAAGGAGTTCCAGGGTGGAGCTTGCAGCGATACACTAGCTGGCTTCGATTTCACTTGTACCACAGACATAGAGGTAAAGCATTTATACGCTCCCTTTGCGCCATATTTCTCTGGCCTTTTCCATGGAAACCACACAGTGTTACTGCTGCCCCAAACACACGACAAAACACAGGATCATGTTTCATCCTCCTGCTCACCCATTTGAGAAGAACAAGTTCATGAGGGTTGGGGTAAGCTGAAATGAAAGAACTGTGTCCAGACAGGCAAACTGATCCTTAATAGCTGGTAAAATGAGTTCTCAGAGGAGATGGCACAACAGAGTGGCCAAGGCTGGAAAGAGAGAGGGAAAAACGAAACAAAAAAAGTAGGTCACCGATGTTTTCACTGCAATGCTTCGACACAAACCATCAGATTTGTTTTCTGTTAAAATTAAAACCTTGAAAATCAAGTCTGTAAGCAGTCTGTTGGTGTGTGGTCAGTCAGCCACTCCCTTGTTTCTCCCTAATCGGTCAATACAGGAACAGACAGCAAAGCAAGGCAGTTTAGCCAACTCACAGTAGAGTTTCTTCAACACTGGATAATTATCCTTTAGCAAGTTCCACCTTTGTTTCTCCTGGTGCCAAATTTTCAGGAACTGTTTGGCACTACACCACTGCAGCATCTAACAGGTACAAATGCATCCAACAACCACCTTGTGAAATTGTAGGTTTGCTGGGGGGGAGGAACATTTCCCACAGTCAAACAGGGGTGATTTTGATAGAAAAACAAATCCTGTCCAGTGTACTTGAGTTGGAAGGTAGAAAAAAATATATATAAAAGTTTGATAGGAAAAAGCTCTGCTTTTTTGGTTTCTTAAGATGATAAGACTTGCGAGAGAAGGAAACAAAGAAAGTGTCCCAAATAAAGTCACTCCCTCACTGAGCGAAGTTCTCTCCGTCCAAGAGTGTGGTTGGTGTTGCTGCTGCTGGGTGCGTTTGTGAGAAAGACAGAGAGCAAAGCTAAGCCGGCATCCAATGTCAGTCCAAACAGCAGCCTCGCTCACACCCTCCCCGCTCTCCCCTGACACTCCCTACCCAAACACATAACCCTCTCTCCTCAAACAGCTGACACTTGACAAATTTTATTTTCACCTGAAAATATACATACAGAAATTATACAGACAGTGTATGTACACGTCTGTATACTTTCTTGCATTTTTTCCTGCCTCAAGCTCGCGTATTTCGCTCCCCTTCTTAGGTGGACATTCCTTCTCTCGCTCTCCCACTTGTGTTTCTTTCTCTCTGCCCCCTCCGTTCCACTGCCTCTGTGGTTAAGCAAGTCTCAGATTTCAGCCTCATCTGGCTGCAGGCTGTACCACCAGCTGCCCTCACTGACACCATACCTCACTTTCTCACTGCCTTTTCTCTTCATTCTGTTCTATCGACTTTCACCCTCACATTGCTTGCCACAGTGCAGCAGGTCTGTACATAGCATTAAGCACTCAAACACTAAATCAGCAGATTCAAACAAAATGGTCTCTGTAGCTTAAACAAGTCAAACAAGAAACTTTTTTTAAATCCAGGTCTGTTAGTCAATTTTCTCCTCCTACAAACAGGACCATATTCTCTTTAAAAAAAACAAAAACAAAAAAAAAAAAAACACATGTGTATAACTGAGCCAACTAAGAAGGGAAGCAAGATTTAAAAAACAAAAAAAACCTAAATATTACTGTGAGCTGCAATCTGTCAGCAGGAGAGAAAGTGATAGCTAGCTTAGTGCACAGGGAAACACAGACCCGGTTCACATGCAGCACTCGAGTGCGTCTTGGTGATCTGATCCCATATGGACAGATCTAAACACAGATGTAACTGCCCCCAAACACGATGACTCACAGACTCTGCTTCTGGCCACCATCGTGGCCGACAATAATGCCAGCAATGACGTAGAACGACTGCTGTATAGTGTGTGCTGTGCCTGCAAGTACTGCCAAAAGTGCACGTCTATTTTTGAACTGCAAAATAAATCACAAATGATATTCGGGTTATGAAGAGATTCAAACTTTAATACCTTTTTATAAAACGAACTCTGCTTACAAGAAGACAGTATATGTGATGGATGATGCTTCTGTGTCTGAAAAGTGAAGCAGATGCACAACTTCCTTAAACCTGCGTTCTTTTTATATGTCCACCAACGGAGCAATAACTGCAATTGAAAAGAAACGTCCAGTACAAGTCTGAGAAAACAGCCCTTGCACGTGCCCTCAGTAAAGACTTTCCTGATCAATCTCTGTGCTCAGCCTCTCAAAAGTCCATTTTGCATGTGTATGGTCACTTGAGTTTCACAAAAGAGGATTATCCAGGGTACGCTCACTGTAACAATTTGTGACAAGTCTGAACCACATGCTTCTGGTTTCACAGTCACACCTACCTCATGCCGTCCCTTTCCCAGCCTGTATGTGGACACTAAGCCCTTTCTTCTATACTCTGTGTGACAATGGCAGATAGAATTTAAGGGCACATCTTTGACAGGTCGTGCCAATTCACTTGATTTTTAAGTTACTTGCATGGTAGTAAAACAAATCGGACTGTAAAAGGAAAGGACAGCGTCATTTCATATGGAAATGTGGGCTTGTGCTTTACTCTATCCTGTCTTACAACCCCTCACCAAGGCATGCCTTTCACATCTCCAACTCACTGATCTTGTTTCAGTTCATTGATATGCTATTGGCATGACAAAATGCAAAAATCTGCACTACTGAAGGATGTTTAAGGTGTAAATAGTTTCTCTTTCCATCCTCTCCTCTGTAGCCCCTGTGGATGTAGGGGATTACATGTTTGGGTCGCCAGTGATTAACTGCTGCCTGGTCCAGATGGCTCATTGTTGTATATATTGCCCTTGCCCCTTTTAATAACACAATTTGGGCATTGGCTACTGTCACTAGCTCTGTTTTACAGCCCACATTGTGCATGCGTGTTACAGCGGTCTCTCTTTGCGCCTGTATTTCTTCTACTGCTGCCAAGTTTCTGACTGTATTCGGTTTATATTGTCTGGCAATAATGCGAACAGATGTGGCGTAACCACTGAGAAAAGATTACAGCAGAGGCAGTACGGTAGCATGCCCCATGTCTCGCTCGTGGTTTAGTCAGTATAGTCAAAAAAAAAGGGTGATTTTTTTTTTTGGGGGGGGGGGGGGGGGGGGGGCAGACGAGAAAATTAACACTCAAGTGTGATCAGTTCAGTGACATACTCAACAATAGGTACACTACACTGATCATCATAGAGAGGGGTGGTGAATAGAAAGGAAAATGCCTGTAGGTCCTTTAAAAATGCACTTATTTGAATTTTAGGTCTCTGAAATTGTTTACAAGATATTTGAATATGTCCTACAAGTTGCATTAATATTAGTCTTACTTCCATCTGGGTCTTGGGGAACAATATTAATCACTAATACACATTTTTCGACATCGCAAACTATCAAAAGGATGTCTGTCTAGTAGATAGCAATGTATTGTGAGGTAGCGCCATGCCCTCTTGGGTTTTAAATGCACCTTAGAACACACATGCATCAACACTACATATGAGCGGGCGGAGGGAGGTTTGGAGTCTTCACACACCCCCGTTCTGTTGCCTGCTGGAGCGGGGGTCTGGGAGGAAGAGTTGGCCGTCCGATTGGGGTCTGGAATGTGGGGCCTCCTTGCTGCTGCCGCCGAGTCGGGGCGGTCTGCTTCTCTCCACCCCAGGGGAAAGGGTAACACTACCTGGGTCTGGGTGCAGTTTCCCCCTCCAGGGGCAAGGGTACCTAGACCTGCTTGGGTCTAGGTTTGCTTGGGGAGTGTGATTGTGTGTACAGGGTTAACATGGCTACTACTTCAACTTATAACTTTAAAAACCCATTTCTGCATACACTACTTTCATCTATGACAAGTGCAAAATCTGTGAGATCATGACACTGAAAGAACCTGGGGGGACCGTTTGTGGACATTCAGTCCCAGTTTTAAAACCTTTACACATCTGAGTAGCAAACTGCACCAGCATCCATTCTACCTACAAAACAGTCTAAAACTGGAGTTTGTGTCCAAAAAAAACAAAAAAAAAAAAAAAAAAAAAAAATTCAGACAAAAATGATTGCACTGATGAACACGCACAGAGCAAAGCAGGCAGTTGGCTAATGGTTCCTTTTAGCCTTTAAACAATGTTCACATAACTTAGTTGATTGTGTGTGCAATTGTTCTAAGATGCTCTCTTGCATAGGTGAACTAACAGCAGGCTGCCACTGTGCATTCCTCGGCTCTGATTTCATAAAAAACATATTTAAAGATTTGCAAGACCCTTTCCACTTCTGTTTACAAACATTGTATTGTCTCTACTGAATGTAAAATTCTCAGAGGTAAAACATTGGCAGACCAAAAGAAAACAGAAAAATGCCACCAAATACAAATTGAAATTACCGTAATTGTCGGGCTATAAGCCGCTACTTTTTGCACAAGCTTTGAACCCTGCGGCTTTTAGTCAGGTGCGACTTTTCTATGGATTGTCCATGATTTTTGTCATATCGTAAGACGATTTGTTTTGTTTGTTCCGCTGTTGTACGGCACTACGTTGCCTGGCGGAAGGGGATGTGATCAGACACACAGTATCTGGGTTCAAGAGTGGTATGTTGGTCACGTTTTCATCCGCCAGGCAACATAGTGCCGTACAAGTAGCGCGAAAAACAAACTTCAAATTAACGCTACGCGTTCAGCGGGAGTCGTGGATGACGAGCGGCGATAAACTTGCGAAAAGCAAGTTATGCTCAACTCCACCGGTGGAATCTGACAGCGTGGAAAAGTGTGAAAACATCCATGATCACCAACGGATTTCGAAGGGCTGGACTGCTGCATGATGGAGAGGAGGACACCGCCACGGCCCTTCTGAGGGTGTTTGACTCTAACACTGACAACGAGGATTTCTTTGGTTTTGAAAGTGACAACGAAGGAGAGAAGCTGAGAGTGGATGACGTAGCCATCCTGAGCCTGTTCGTATCCGACACTGGAGAAGAGGACTTTGGTGGTTTTAGTGCGCAGGAAGATGGTGGTAAATGACTTGACTTTTCTTCTTGTTAAAGCCGTGTCACTGCATCTGAGCATAAAAGGTAGTCTGAATCTATTTTTCTGGTGTGTTGT